TCCATATCCATTTTTCTCATTACAAGCATGTAATTTCCATTTGATACATCTTGTGTTAAACCAAAGCATATGACAATTTCTGACCATTTGTTACATAGAGTTAAATGTGATTTAGCCTAAATGATAACATGCCATTGCTAATACAAAAAAACTCTAAATTTCATAAAAAAAATTAAAATATAATCATATATACCTCTTCAAACCAACTTTGATTTGCATTTTCAACATTTTCTAATTTTTTAAGTATTACTGCAATAGTTCCAAATCTTTCTAATTGCTGTTCATTAGAATTCCATTTATAATATCCTCCACCAATCCAGTTTGCTGTAAAAATTTCGGAGAATCCACCTTTTGTTAGATATTTAGTATTTTTTAGATTATTATATGGAATCCATTCAACTACGCTATTTGGCATAAGTGCTTCCGATTGACATTTCTGTATTAAATTATCAATATCATTATTTCCGGACGTCCAATTTTTAAAATTTGCTTTTAAATAATTTCGAACACAATATTCACAATATAATGTTGCTAAACATTTTTGATTACAATTTTCACAAATTCTTTTTGTTCCTGAATTTTTAAGAATTTTATTTAGGTCATAAGTTTCAGTTATATAATTTATTGCTTCAGTTTTTTCATCATCTGTAAGAAGTTTATCAGCTAGAATAAATTGTTTTTGAAATTCATATCGTTTGTGCAAGTCAGTGTGAGTGTTATAATCAATTAACAAATATGCTCTATTAACTGTTGCATTAATTAATTCATGTCGAATAGTAGACATAATGCAATTTTATTATAAAGGTTTAAAATGAAAACTTTTTTTTTTTATTTTATTATTAAAATTGGAAAAATGAAAAAAAATTTTTTTTAAAAAGAAAAAAAATTTTTTTAATTTCAAAATCCCAAAGCAAAATTAAAGTGTAACATAAATTTGAATTTTAGTATAATCTGAATGTTATGTAACAGTTATACAAACAAGTTTAAAATAAACACAATAAACTATTTTTAGACATGCTTATCGCTATAATAAATATTTTTAACATTTTTATAAATAAATATTGTAACTAAAAATACACATTATAGTTTTATCAAGAATTCTTAAGTGTAAAGTTAATAAAAACTAATTTATTTAATTTGTTGAAAGAATTAAAAAAGAATGGAAAATATTGATGATATTTGTACTACTTTGTGATTAACAGTACATGCTGAATTTCTTTTTTGTAAAAAAGAAAAAAAAAGACCTAAAGTCAGTAAAACCAAAAATATATATATATATTATGTTTATTTAAAAATGAAAATTTTCTAACAAATTTATTGAAATTTCTTACACTATAATTAGTCAATAAAATAGTTAAAAAATTTGATAATAGTGTTCCTATTTATAAAAAATCCATAAAATTATTACATATTTTTCATATTTTTAAAAATCAATGAAGTAAATTATTATTACCGTATTCAGATAAAATATAAATTATTACTTCACGTAAGATATAAAAATTTATTTACTATATGTTCCGTAAAATTTATTAAAGGACCATTCAAAAAATGTTTTTTGATAAATGTAAAGCAAATCATATTCACGTATTTTATAGATTTTTGAACTTTCAATAATAGGACCCCCAAAAAAATGCACATAAAAGATTAGATCTGAGTTTGTGTGGAATACCATTCAAAAATATTTTTATTGAATTAACGAAAAATTATTGGATTTTTAAATTATGGGTCTAGTTCGTAGAATATACCTTTTTCATCCTATATTGAATATTTGAATGACATTTTGAAGTAATGATATCCATTTTGAACTTTGTAGATAAAATCAGTCAATCAATTTTTTTCACCCTATAAAAAATTTTATCCATTATTTCTGTAAAAACTCTGTAAAAAATGGGCATTTTCTGAATTCATTCACGTAAAATGAAAATAATTTGATAGATTCTGTGATATAAGGTTATTAATATTAATTATAAGCCTTTTGCGGGAAAAAGATGCAATATAAAAAATGGATCGACTTTTTTTACAGGGTCATTTTTGTAAATAATATAATAATTTGAAAAACATTATAAAATATAGGTAATTACATTATAGGGTTTTTTAAAAAAAAAATGGCAAGGAATTCATTTATTAGTATATTAATTAACAGACACTATTACGCAAGCAGTTAATTAATCGAATCAGAATCGATTTTATTGGTTATCAAATAAAAAAAATTGAAATACTACTGAATATAATTAATACGTTTAAAATATGAATCATAATTAGTATTTACCCATTCGGAAGGGATTTATCAGCAGCAATAAAATTTTTATTGTAATCGGGTTTAAACTTGAGTCATCAACATATTAATGTCATCATGACGAATTGACGATGTATTTCATGTGTATATTTATTAGTATCCATATTTTTATTTATATTAGATATTATTATTTCTGATTAATAAAATAGTAAAGTTGCATCAATATGACAATTATAAATAGATAATAGTTTACTCAATAATTAACAATTTTTATCAGTTTAAAACTATTAATTTATATTTTTTATTGTTAATTTAATTTTTTATAATAGCAAATATGTCATGCTGAGTCATAAAAGCGTTTTATGTTCGCATGAGAATTCTCAAGTATTCTGGTAAAAATGGTGTGTTCATACTGAGTCATAAAAGATCTTTGTTTATTTATGATTGATGATTCAACATGAGTAAAATCTCATAGAAAATATATTTCATAAAACTATAAAAGCGTCTTTTTCGCACTCAAAAAAATCCACTTTTTTTATATACAAAAATAACTATACAAAAATAACCATACATACAAATAAAGACCTTTAAGTCCAATACAATACAACCGACTGACAGTGCAACAAGGCCTAGTGGTTAGGCCTAGTGGTTTATAATTGTGAAATATTTTGTTTTCAACATGCAATGAAATTCAACTGCAGATCACCGACCTCGAAAAACATAAGGATAACATAAGGATTTAAGGCAAGTATTTCCGTTGTATGGTTCTACTTGCTTTATGGGCGTGCGTCATTTTTAAGTGTTATGACATAGGGGTTTATGTGTTCGTAGTACGTACCATATGCTACAGGCTAGTAGTCATCTGCTTTGTGCACAAAGTCGTAGCTACAATGATGCCATATAGGTGGTCCCACAAGCTGACTCATGGGAGGGCAGGCCGTGGTGCCCGTGGAAGTGACACATATTTCTATGTTGTGGGCATACTTGATTATTGATATATGCTAACATAATATTATACATTTTATTTTTAGTAATTACGGATAATTTTATAATTATTATTGCACTTTTTTTTAATTTTTAAATCATCTCTTGAGAACGTTTAACAGAGTTTTTCTTTTCCTATCATCACAAATATGCATAACCTTATTTTTAAACGCATTATTTGCTCCAAACTTAACTTATTATTGCCATAATAATTTATTTTTACATTGTCCGATAAAATGTTTTTCTTCATCAATTTTAAATTTTTCCATTCAAACCAATTTAAACATTTAAATATTTATTATTTTCCAACTTTTCTTAGTCCGATCACGTTGCGGCTATTATTTTTCGGCTAACTAAACCATTATGAAATTGATTTCTACTATATATATATATAATTTTATCTGTAAAATTTTTTTAGCATAAACGTTTTTTTATATCATCGAATAATAATTTGTGGTATGCAATTAAAACAGTTAATAAATATGTGTAAATAAAAAATTATATATAATGTGCTTACTAATTTTTAACAAAAACAATATCAATAGTTCGTTTAAAATTATTAGTTCATTACTTTATTTTAAAAAAAAAAAAATAATAATTTCTCGTTAAATTTTTTAATGAATTTATTTTTTATATGATTTCTCGTTAATCTTACGATATTACAGTCAACATCAACATTACTTAATCGAATTGAAAACATTATAGCGGATTGCAAAATTCTTGTAATTATTAATAATAATCATGTGGTAAAAATAATACAATTATTTTTTAGTATGTTCAGTCACGAATTAATGTTGATTGAATACCATCTATTAAAAAAAACAAAGTTAGTAATGTAAACCTTTATTTTTTTTTGTTATTCACGAAAAAAAAATAAATTTAGTTGGTTTAACCATTAAAGGAAAAACTGAAAGAAATAAATATATATATATATAAAATAAAGTCCGTCCTACTGCGCCAACCGCATGACTGAAAGAAAAAAAAATATTTGATCAAAAATTTTATTAACTGGACCCTAAAAGCCAATCAAATAATTCTAACCGTAATAAATATAAAATAGATCAGCGCAGATCCAGGTCACACTAGGGATTGGAATCGATAATCGAATCAAAATCGAATAAGAGAAAATTGAAATTAAAGAAAAATTAATTCAACATTGCATCAAAAGATTAAAATATTTTTCAAAAAAGAAAAATTGATCGATAATGGCCTTCAAAAACTCAAAAATGAAGAAATGATCGGCAAATGATCAGCAACAATGTTATAGTAATTTACAGTTGAGTATTAGTAACGATACATTACAATTTTAATTCAGAATTTACATATTTACTGATCGCGAAATTAATTATTAAAATGGATTATCTTTTAAGGAACAAACAATCGAATCTACAAAGATTCGATAATCGATTCCAATCCCTAGGTCACACGCCACTATAAACATTGTGCGTGGGATTTCTGATCACGATGGTAGCACAGCACATAAATGAATAAATAAAACGATGCTTGTACTGTGTAGTTTCGTAAAAAAAAAAAAAAAAAATTTTTTTTTGAATGGATTATCTTTTAAGGAACAAACAATCGAATNTTAAAAGACAGTGCTTTAATGATTGTTCCATTTGCAAGATTTCTTCCTTTAATTAATGAAATTGAAAATTTTTTTAACGAAATCATCGAATTAGTAGAAGCTGCTGAATATAATCAACGAACTTGTGAAATATTAAAAAATCGAGTTAATATTGCAGAATTAGCCGTACGAGATCTTAGAGATAAAAAAAAAGACAGAGAAGATTTTTTTAATAAAATAAATTATATACGTTTACAAGAATTATCTACTATTATAAAACAAATTAAAAAATTTATATCAGAAATCTCTCTAATGAAAACTTTGATAAAATACCTTAAAGAGAAAAGTGTTGAGAAAATTTTTAAAAAATTATGTATGGAATTCGACAGTTGTATTAACTTATTGTCTTTTTCTTTTAACGTTGAAATTGCTGATGAACTTGAACAATTAAAATCCGATCAAGATGATTTATTTAAAGTAAGATTAAAAAAAATTGAGTTTTATTATTGAAACATATAATTAATTTATATTATTTTAATAAATTATAGTATCTACAAGGAATGGTGGCTGGTATTGATGATAACGACTGCTTCACAGACTCAAGTAAAAAGTTTTTTTCAACAATTATAAAAGTTAATGCAATGTATAAAACAATAAAAGGAAAATTTAAAGGTCAAACAAAAATTAGCGATGTCTTTCAGGTACATCCACTAGAATTTTCTGATTATGAACGGGATGATAATGAGAAACCACGTAAGAATGGACGTGTAACTAAATGGTATGAAAAAACAAATAAAGGTGCTGAATTCGCTTTTAAAACTATCTCTGGAGGAGAGGACGAAGTGACTGTACAAAAACAAGTTGCAATTCTTAAAGAACTTCATGATTGGCAAAACATCATAAAATTTCATGGAATGATTTCTGATGGAAATCAATGGTATTTGGTGACTGAATGGGCCGAACATGGAAATTTGCGTGAATTTTATCAAAATAAAAATGATTTCGACCTTAAATCAAAATTACGTATATCTCTTGATATTGCTCGTGGATTAAATTTTTTAAGAACTGTAGAGGTAATTATATAACCAGCTTTTACTTAATTAACGAAAATTTTTTTTTGATTTTTTTTTTTTTTTAGATTTTTTTCGATATTAGGGCTGAAAATATATTAATTACACTTAATGAGACAGCAAAACTTGCAAATTTCAAATTATTTAATTCCCAACTCATCGGAGCTATATGTCTTCCAAACCTAAAGTTAGACCAAATTCGTTATTGTGCACCTGAATTGTTGGAAAGGGCGCTATATCACAAATATGATCAAAGATGTTTTGGGGTTTATAGTTTTGGAATCTTACTTTGGGAAATTGCTGAAGAAAGAATTCCACATCAGGGTATTGATGATATTAGGGATATAATTGATAAGGTATGTAATGAAAAGTATAGAGAACCATTTTCTGAAAATAGTCAAATGCCAGAAGAATTCAAACAATTAGAAATTGAAGGTATGTAAAAGAAAATATTTTAAATTACAATTTTATTTGTTGTACTTAATTGGTTTCTTTTTTTTTTACATATTTTTTTAGCCGTTCATCATGATCCAGATTTTAGGCCAAAAATCACGAAAATATTTGAAGTCCTTAATAATTGTTTCAAGTAATATTCACAAGTTACATCAAGCTCTAGTGGCCCAAACCTAAGAGGAAACAGCAGAAACAACTTTATGCAAAAGTCTCGTCCAAACCGAGCAGAGAACATTGATGTATACGCCCTTCCAGATCTTGAATCATTTAAATATATGACACTTTCTGATGCAGAAAAACAACATAAGTTGTATAATAAACGTGATAAACTAGTTGGAGATGTAATAACTGCATATAAATGTTTTGAAGCTTATGCAAACCTTGGTAATACTGGAGGTACAAACCGTAATCAAATCAAAGCAAAATATTATAAAGCATATTACATTTTAAAAGAATTGATTGAGGACCCTACAAATAAAGATGAAATCGTTGCTGAATTATTTAAAGAAGTTGCTGATGATGAAGCAAATGAATTCCCTGAAGCAAAAGTAAGATATGGAGATTGTTTGTATCATGGCAAAGGTGTTGATCAAAATTTTTCAGAAGCTCTTAAATATTTTGAAAAAGCTGCTGAAGATGGTGTTAAAGTAGCAATGTATGACGCTGGAAATATGTATTACAATGGTATTGGTTGTACGAAAGATATAGAAAAAGCTAAATATTATTTGAAATTAGCTGCTTATGGTGATTATGAACCTGCTATTAAATTTTGTAAGGAACATGACATATAAAAATTTTTTTCTTATTTGTTAAATGATTGTTATTTTATTATAAAAAACAAAATTTTATTTTTTATCTAATTTTTTTTTTATCAATAAATATAAGTTTTACTAGGATGATTTTAACGCTTACTATCGAATTATACTATTACTTTTTATGTAAAATGTGATTTTAAATAATTATTCCAGTTGTTAAAAAATTTGAGAAATACAAGAAATAGCATTTTTTTTTAACTTTGTAGCGCACTTGTCTTTGACTTGTTTTGTTATATATTTAGTAAATAAATAAACGTCAAATTGTACTTCTTTTGCTATAAAAAAAAAATGTATATTTCTTGATTTTGATCGGTATTTCTTAAAATATTTATAAAATAAAGTCTTTGTTGTTAAAGATTGTAAAATAAATTTTTTTGATCGTTCATTAAGTTTTTTTTTTCTAATCAAAAACATAAATAAATTTCCCGTGTAAGTGTTAATTAGCCAATCAACGTTTAGAGGTGAGGAATAACTTTACCCTTTTTTTAATAACACGAAAATTAAAAATTTTTAAATGAAAATAAAAAAAAGCCCCTACTATATACTAATTACATGATTACTCCATAACATTATTGAAAATATGAAGAAGTTCTTGACAAGAGTATTAAATAATTATCTGAAAAAAGCCATGTACGATATATTATTTTTTGCAATGCAAATTAATAAATCCGCAGTATTATGATTAGTATAGTGTCCTCTTTTACTTTTAAAGTTAAAGAAACTTCTGCTGGTATAACCCTTATTCTATCTCTATACATTTAAATCCTACTATAAATTTATTCAAATCCTCCTTTACTGCTTCTCATTTCTTATCCTCTTTCTTCCATTTTTCAAGTTTCCTTAATAATACTGATCAAAAAGATGACTTTTTTTAAATAATTCTAAAAGTTATTTTAATCCTTCCCCACGACCCTTAATAATCAGGTTATTCTTCATAATAAAAACAGTAATGATAATCATCATTATTTGTATACATAGCACCTCCGCCTGTATCACATATCTTTTGATTCTTTTCTAATTTATGAAAATGTAAAATAGTAATGGTATAACTTTATAATTTTAATTCTTATTCTCTTTTTTTTATATCTGTTATTTTTCTTTTTTTTTACCCTTTTTTTTTTAAAAAAAAAAATAATAAAGTACATGTAAGATTAGAGAGGAATTAATTTGTTTATAAAATAATAATAAAAAAAATATTTTTATGTTACAAGTATTTTAAGTATTGATTTTCGTTATTGATTGATTGATATACAAAATACTAACAAAATATAACAAATAAACATTATCAAATATCAAGTAATTAATTTCTAGAAAAATTATTAAAAAAATTTACATATGATAAAATTATCATATACAAGAAAAAATATTTACAATAATATTTGACAGATAAATTTTTTTTTTGTAATTGTAGAACCAATCCCATTTTCGGTTTTTACTCAATGAAATCAATGAATAACTCCGATATGGTAAAATTCTTTTTTTTTCTTGTATTCTAATTTTAGAAAATCCAACAATTTCTCAATCAGTGAAAGGTATTGAAATTTATCCGATTAGAATTGTTTAAACTGTTATTTTCATTTAATTAAGGATAACAATGATCGATCAATAAAAAGTTTATAATTACCGACCAGATCACGTGCAACCTGAAAACAAATCCGTCTACTGTTTTTTTTATGGGTCGTTATGAATAAATAAAAAAATCACAAGGATCAAAGTAAAAATAACAGGTTAGTAAGTTTTAGTAAAGCGAACATGTGCTGGTGGTATTTTCTATTCTTTTATTGTTGATGAATTAAAAATTCCCAGTAATTAACTCATCAGCTAAATTATGATAAAAAAAATTCCATTAATTTTAATTTATAATTAATTATTTACTCTCTTCTTTATTTGCCAAAAAAAGTTTTCTAAAAGAATTTTTAACTGAAAATCTAGTAATTTATTAGTTATCGACTTATCGTTCACAATACCGACTCATTATAACAGACCAATTGTAAACCCACCGACATGAGATATTTGGCAAGATTATTCGTTTTAAAAAAGTGAATGAAATTCAAATTACTGTACCAACTTTCATATTATTAATAGAATGGCCGATTTATTGTTGAAATCTGCTGCAAAATCAGAAAAACTTGAGTATCGCATTCAAAATAACATAACCATTTTATAGAATCCCTATAAATCGACTTCTCAAGTAATTATTAAAAACCGGTTTTGTTAAGATTTTCAAGTTCTCATAAATTACATAATAAGACTTTTAATTTTTATCATTTTTTTCTGTAATCTTTTTTCGTTTTTCATATTTTTCCATTTATCGCACTGAAGATTCGTGATTAATAGGATTTAAAAACATGATGCGTGTTGTGACAATCACCAACGAACGATAACATATCATATTTAAAATTAAAACTGACATTTAAGTTCGATAAATTGGTAAAAAGGCATAAGCATTTTTATTATTTTTTTGATTTTTTCTTTCTGGAATTTTACTAACCTGTTATTACGTCATATATGTCACTGCTTTTTTATTAATTATGTATTATTTCATTCTATTTATTAGTTTTCATTACAAATCTTGCAAGTTTGCTTATTATATCATAGATTGTTTACAAATTAATTTATCATCAACTCGCAATAAACGGATATTTAAATCACATGACCTTTGTTAGGTGTGTAACGTAGATTTTTGATAAATGTCACCGCCCTAATATTATTAAAATTAATATGAGTTAAAAATATTTAAAACATGAACTCTTGTTAATTGACCTAAAACACATTTATCAATCATTTGCTCTCGATCACTTGATCATGTGATAATTAATAAGCCTGAGCGATGTTTTTATTTATTATATCAATTTCGATTAGAAAATTGATTAAAATTAATACCTATTAGAATTTATTTTAAAAACAATAACATTGGTTTTTACTGAGCAATGACTTTTATTCATGTTGGAAAACACAGTAGGAGAAATGCAAGTTGACTCATTAAATTTTAGAATTACTAACGAAGTAAAAAATGTAGAACATATAGGCAACATACGCTATATCTAGGGATTTCTAGGGATGTCAAGTAAGTATTTCAAAGCTTATTGAAATTTACTTGTTTTGAATATCATTTTCTCTTATAATAATATTAGTAAATCTCGTTTATAACAATCTTTTAACCAAATTTAATTAATTTAAGCTAAGCAAATCAACTTGTCTATAATGAGAAATCAATAATATTAGTTGATAAAAACTGAGTTTAGGAACTGGTTCAGTTCCAAGTTCCAAAGTAGTTCAAAGCAATTGCTCATTTTGGAGATCAATTTTTTTTCCTTATGAAAGGGAAGAGGAAACGAGCGAGGGAAAACATACACTACACATACTCACACATCCATACCATTCACATACACTTAAAAAAAGATGTAAAGAAGGGGGATCGAAGAGAAATCCTAATAAAGGGAGAAAAAAAGAGACCTAAAGAAAAGAGAAAACACGAAAAAGAAGACCGAAAAAGAAAACCTGACAATTAATTAAATTTATTAGCATAATTTTCAAGTGTTGTTACTTATTAATTCGATTTACCTGTACTTAGAAATTTATAAATTGTCATCAATGGATCGTGTTTTAATAATAATATTACCATTATTAATGGGGTGAAAAGTCTAATTCTTGAATCGCTACGGAAAATAATTAC